CAGTGCCATATTTACCGAGCCGCGGGGCCGATGGGGAACGCCGGGCTGCGGTCGGAAAGCTTTGCTGAGGTGCCCGCCGCTCCACGCGTCCAGTCCTCCTTCAGAAACTTCAACTCCCAGAGGCGGTGGCTGCACGCCTGGTTACGGCGCTTGCGGCTTCCGTCATCGACCTGCGCCAATTACAAACGCCTAAATTGGGGAGGGAGGAGGGGCTTTTAGGGGGCGGGGTCAAGACCTGGGTTTTGTTAGGAAGGTTGCAGCTACCACCTGGCCAGAGTTGAGTTTGTACTCGCGTCTACGCTCCCATCGGGAAAGGAGGACAGCCCCACTTACAGAAATTAAAATACGAAACAGAAGAAATGCTCGTCTCGGTGTGGAGACGATGACCTGTTGCCCAAATGATTGCTGATTTACATAGGAAAAAGTTACCAAGAACACATTGTGTTTTTCCTAAGTGGAAAAAATTTAAAGTGAGGTTCTTAATAAAAATGCATTGACGTTGGGAGTCTTAATATGCTATTTTGCAAAGCACCAGGGATATCGCTTGTAATACTTGACCTTATATAATCTTTTTGCTAAATATAGACCAAGTCAACCGAGGGGAAAAAATATTCAGTTATGTAGCTTGACTTCTTTAAAAATTAATTTGCCCTTTTTGATGTAATTTGGAGATTAAAAACTATTTTCAAATTTTTGAATAGAAGTCATCCGACCTTTCAGAATTGAAAGAACCGTGCTGTGGATTTTTCTTGATGCTTGACCTTTGAACATGATTACAGGCTCAGACATCTCTAAATGTCCTGGAAAAACTGAAGCCTTGCTTTAAAACCTCCAGTTGTACTTGGGATGTGAGCCGGGATTCTGTTGTGGATCTCTCAAGTCTGAGGGATTTCTGTTAACTGAGCTTTGGCACAAACTCTGGATCCATTTGTGATCTGTTAATAGGACATCTTTTTTCAGCTGCCTCCATATCAGGGCAGAGAGTAGCTGAGGAAGGATTAGTAATTGGATATGGAGCCCTTCACATGTAGGTCATTAGATTCAGGCTGGCGTAGTAGTGTGCCAAATCTTTCAGCAGCTGTTCAGTTGCCCCTGTGGGATCTGCTTTATAAATAATGAAACATTTTTAGAGGTAATGCCTAGCATCCTCGATATTTAAAAGGTGTTTTTTTTTTTTTTTAAGTTATGAGAAAGTCCTCATTTTAATGATGTCAGCAAATTTTGACTTAGCTACTTGATCTTGTAGTTGCAGGATCAATCTGAAGTATGCTTTAAAAAAAAAAAGTACCAGGAAAAACTGCAGAAAAACAGAAACATATAAAAAGTTTAAGATAAGGTCATGTGGTATGAAGCTGTCATTGATTTATAAGACTCCTGTTTAACTTATTTAACAGTCATGAGTTTGTCTTAGGATTTTATGGAATGATAACTAAATGATTATTTCTGTCCTAAAGGAATTGGGGCTCCAGAAGTTACTCTGTATTTAAGATGCCTATCGATACAAAGGAACAAGTGAGCACATGGTTCTTGAGCACATGGTTTCAGAGATCTTACAATTTTTCGACATCTTGGAAAGTAAGCAGTTTCCAAATGTAAAGAATTTACAATGCTGGGAACAGTGAAAAACTAAAGTCCAAAATGTGATGATGGTGTTTTGTTTTGTTTTGTTTGTTTTTTCGAGACAAGGTTTGTCTGTAGCTTTGGAGCCTAACTTGGCACTCACTCTGGAGACCAGGCTGGCCTCGAACTCCCAGAGATACACCTGCCTTTACTTCCCGAGGGCTGGGATTAAAGGCATGTGCCACCAATGCCCTGATAGTTTTACACAGTGAAAAGCAATGGGTAGAATAAGGAAGAAAGGAGACAGTGTAGTTATAAAGAGCTTCTAATTTGAACGATAGTAGAACACTTCCATTAACTGGGCCATTTAGAGAACACTAGAAGGAAATTGGACATAAAAAAAATTAGCAAGCTTGGATTTGAATATATGTAGAATGTGGGGGATCTGCAGGCATCTAAATAGAAAGACTTCAAACCCACTAGTACGTGTTTGTACTTTGAGCCCACAGAAGAGGTTTCTACTGGTCATGAGCCTGCTATATCTGTGGAATCAGGAGTGTAACAAAGGAGAGAAGATACCTGCAGGGAAGCCTGAGAGGGCGTTTCCCTTTTAATCAGAGTACAAGCTCCAGGTGGCAATATGGCCCCAGTGATAGCAGACCTTAGGTTTTGAAAGAGCAGTCAGAAGTTGAATTTGTGTGAAATCTGGTTTGGAGGTATTGACACTGCTTTGCTGTGTAAAATTCTGAGGAACCATGACAGAAAGGTTTCTAGAGAAGTTAAAAATAGTGCTACATGCATAAAACTGAGAAAATCATATCCCTGCTTCTTAGCTACCTGCACAGCTATGTACCTTGTAGCAATCCCCATCACCAAGATAGGGAATCTGATATCTGTCCGAGTCAGCAAGTGGATGGATTCAGAAACTGGTAAATGTATATAATGAACTCTTAGCCCTGAAAAACAAGATCTTGCCATCTGCCTCCATATGAATGAGCTTAGAAGTCATTGTGCTGTCAAGTAAGCTTAAGTATTTTGTGTTCTCACTTGTGTGTGGAAAATAATATTCAAGTATACAGAAATGGGGAGTAAAGCAGCCGTTAGGAGGAAGGGGAAGCTCTGCCGGGGGAGGGGGTAAGATACGAGTCATCGTAACAGGTAAGATAAATAAGAGTGGAGAGTAAATGTGTAACCCGAGGACTGCTGGCCATGGAGTTGTTCTGTATATTATTTTCATACTAATGAAGTGGTTTTAGCTGCTTTTATCACAAAGGAAACAAAACAAGTTGGCTAACTGTGAAATGATGGATGTGTTAATTTGCTTCACCATAGCAACCTTTTTACTATTCATATCTAGCCCATAGCATTATGTTGTATGCCTTAAATGTATGCAATTACATTTATGGAAAAAAAAGAGTTGATGTGAGTTAATCACAAGTAAATATTGAGCAAATCTGTGCACCAATTTCAGACAATTGGCAGCCAGTTAAAGTTGGACCACAGATTGTCAAGTAAGAAGACGGCTACAGAGAGAACAGAATTTTAGGGCACAAAACATGGTAATAAATGCAGTTATGAGCTTCTCAGTATGTTTGGCCACATTGGGAAGTCACTAAAAATTTCATTTTTTGTCAGTCTAGTTGTGACTTTAAGTCTGAGTACTCCAGCAAGTTGGGAGTGGTAGGTGGGGGTCAGAGTAGCACTTGTGAATAATTTTAGACTGAAGAGCCCAAATGGAATCAAATCTAAAACATGCCTTGAAAGGTATCTAAAAAGAAGAAATAACTTCTCAACTATATTTATTTCAACTGGCACTTTGATTGAATTAGAGAATAGGGAAAAATTTAAAAGATATCTTAAAGTACCTTGTAATTCATAAACATTGAAGATGCTGGGACGATGCCTAGGGAGGAACACCTGTGGACTTCCTGAATCTTCTCATAGAAACAAGAGGAGCATCTAGTGTGGCCAGCTGTCTCTGACGGCTGTAACTAGGCAGAAAAGAATCTGAAAGCCCCGAGAACAGGAGGGTCACTACCTGCCCAGCATTTGCTGCAAAGTAAGGGATACTACCTGATGCCAACAAGAAAACTGGCCTGGCAGGTGGTCCAGCAGCTCAAATCCGAGGTGAGTGTAAAAGAATCAGCAGAAAAGCTCTGAAGTTGCCACTGTGGAATTAGTAAAATCTGCATAGGGGGCACTGCTCTGGAGCTAAGCCCAGCACCTTAAAGACACTGCTCGGGTCTCAACTGAACAGGACCAGACAGCAGGAAGAAGAAAAAAGTCCAGATGCAAGTGAAGGAAGAGCAGAGATAAAGATGGTGACACCAGGACATGTGTGCCATTTTACGAAATTGACAGAAGGTATTTGTAGTCTTGAGACTATAAAAGCCCCCCCCCCTTAAAAGTACAGATAATGCCCAGCTGGTAAGATGGCTTAGTGAATAGGATGCTTGCTGGCAAGCCTGAGGACCTAACTTCAATCTACAGGACCCTCAGGAGGAAGGTGACTTGACACCTGAAAGTTGCACTCTGACTCCACCCAGGTCCATGGCATAGGCTCACTCACAGTAAGAATACTACACTAAAGGATTATGATTGGGTTCCATTTAAAGGTGCTGCAATACAAAATGAACAATGACGCAGATAGAGGGATAAAGCTATCCTCCAGTATTTCAGAGTAAACATGCAGACATTTTTAAGTGATAAAACATGAACAATACAGAAAATTAAGAAATAGACTGCTTTGAGAAAGAAATTTGAAGAAAGTGGTGGTTGAGAAAAGAATGAGTATTAAAAAGTGTGTGCATAAGGCATGCCCAAAGGCCTAGCCAGTGAAATACAATCGGAAAAGGAAAAACAAGAAAATTACAGATGGCATGATTGTCTATCTATATAAAAAACAAAACAAAAGTTTCCCAAATCCTCATTTCACTAATTAGCAATTATAGCAGAATTTTAGGACAAGAAGTCAACACCCAAAATCCAGTTGGTCTATGAGCCAGCAATGTACAGTCTGATCTTGAAATTAAAACTGCTAACTCCCACCTTGTGACATAGATAGAAACCTAATAAATTTGTAAAGAGTTTAAAGGAGGAAATCTGAAAGACTGATGGAAAACTCAAGATCCAAGTAAATTCAGAGATGTTCGCATGTGCTGGAGATTCAAGACCCTAAGAACATGGATACCTACCACCCATGTAGCCTACGAATGCCAAAAAAAAAAAAAAAAAAAAAAAAAAAAAAAAAACCAAACCTTAACACATCAATGTGGGCTATGTCAAAGGAACACATCAGTGGAATTGAAAGAACTCACGATGTGTGTGTGTGTGTGTATGGGACCGGGTGGAGGGTTGTATTCACATGTATAGTGGGTGTGGGTGTTTGTGAGTTTTCGAAAATACTTGAGTGCTCCGATGCCTGGCTGCTTACATGGGTGCTGGGGATGTGAATTCTCATGTTACAGACTAAGCCATCTTCCTAAATCACCTGAAAGAACTCTGAATAAGAAAAAAAAAAAGCATTTTACTCTGAGTGAATAAAAAATAAGCAAGATTAGTAAAGTAGTATTGGGCTATGTCTCA